CATACCGCCGTAATGATGTCCGACAGACCATTAAACACTGTGGATGCCCTACCAGGCAACAACCTGGGAGAACTACCTAGCTAAAAGCACCCTATATTCAGGAGTAAACATACACTTCTGACAATATTCATTCCATTTTCACTCTTTTATAGTCATGATTTTGTTGACTGTATAATGCCCTTATCTCTGGTGCATAGTTTTTTTTTCTATATACCGCTCCGGTAACATATTGTTTGTTTACTTGTTCTGTTATCTTGATTTGTTATTTCAATAAATGCTTTTCTTCTTTCTGACAATAAAACCAAATTTCCAACTGTTCCCCCTGTTACGGTATGATAAAGTCAGATCTTTCATATTTTTAATGTACTCAACCTCGTGCAGCCACAACATAATCGTGGAGGGTTAGTCTGCTTCCAGAGTAGTGGAATACAGTCTTTGGCTCCATTCAGCAGGTGAATCAAAAGGGACTTCCTGTAACGAGATTTGGCCATATCCTGCAAGTATTTTGTGTAGTCCTGACCAACATCTACCCCTGTGAGGTTAAAGATGATGTCAAATTTTATCTCAAAACAGGTGTAGGATCTGGCATTCCCAAAAGGGAACCCTTTGCCCAATTACATTACCAGCACAAAAGGGAGGCTGAAGGGAATATACTATACAATTTTTTTAGGCACCTGGAGAGTATCTTGTACCCCGCTTCCTGGAATTTGTTAGCAATTGAGGCTTCTTGTGCGAAGTAGACAACAGAATTTTTCTGATCGTCTGTCCAACAAACTCCCAGGTCAGCTTCCCATTGAGAAACAAATCTAGGTATGTGGTCTTCTGGTGGCTAAGTAAGCAAAGAGTAACTTAATGGAAGGATATGCCCAGAACGCTCTGCACAGAGGCTATAAAAGTAGAGTGAGGGGAGGCGTCAATCCTATGCTCCAGTAGGAGGAGTCCAAGTTGCTGTACATGCCAAAAAGAGAGTGTGGGAGATGTTCGGCCTTGCAGGTTTGGAATTGACTTTAAAACAGCACTGTTAAGAAAATGCTTAAGCCTAAAGGTATTATTGCTTGGGTGGTGAGGGGGGGGGGGAGAAAAACCGGAGTCCAGGAAACCCTGGACAATGTACGGATTACGAATGATCAGAGCAAGCATGAGGCCAAGGGAGGGGCAATGGGCTTAACAGAGACAGATGGAAAGGCTTGAAAGGTCGCAGACAATAAGGGATGGTGCATGACCTGTCTCAAGGCACCATCAGCAACCCAAGGAAGGCATGGTAACAGGACTGAGCAGGACTCTTGTTCCAAGAGGACCCATTTTTCACCACTCCAGGATCCTGGCCACATGTGTCGCCTTGTAATAACGTACAGGGTCCAGAAACCAAATCCCCTCCTATCAGGAAAGAGAGAGAAGTAGTGCAGTGCAGTTTAAAGCCACAAACAAAATTAGGAAATTCCCCTAGCAAGGAAACAAGAAAATGTGTAGGGGTAGAGACAGGAATAGACTCAAAAGGATACAGAAGATGCGGCAAAACATTATACCTGCCTAACCAAGAGAAATACTCCTTTCTACAGTGTACTGAGGCCAAAAAAGGTGGAAAATTAGCACCAAACATTTGGCAAAAGGAAGGAGTAATCCAAATACCTATAGAGGTCAAAGAGGTGGTGGCCCATTTAAAAGGGAAGGAGTTTCAGATATGCTGGGTGTGGTGATGCAGGACCGAGATATTCACTTTGAAGTTGGAAAGCTCCCCATAACATCATTATAACAGTAATAAACTGTTTACTGTAAACTCACTAAAGAAGAAAAGAGGCCACCACCTAAAATTGGAGGAAAAAAAAGATTTAAACAACAAAGTAAAGGGCATAGGGGATTCTGTTCTGTGAGAGCAGTATAATTGTGGAACTCTCTTCCACAAGCAGTGGTATCAGCAGAAAGTATGGAATCATTCAAAGATCGTTTAGATACCTTTCTCAGAGACCATAACATACAGGGGTACAGGTACTCATAATAAATGGAACACACAGAGACTAACACATGCACACAAAAGGTTAAACTTGATGGACCTGAGTCTTTATTCAACCTCAAATACTATGTAACTATGTGATGTTGAAATTCGTCCAGGAGATGAGAAATAGAAAGCAAGTCATCCACAATGGAAATGGTCAATAATGTTGGGTCGGTACAAGGCAGGGATCTGTGGCACAAATCCTCTGGTGTTCCTGCTGGTGCACACACTGCATGGTGTAATAGGCCGGGCACTGGAAGCACTGCGGCAGGAGAAAAAGGAGGATTTCCTGGTGTCTCTATCCTTTCACAACTGACTCCCTGTGAGACATGAGCAGGCGGAGGAGGTGCATGAGGAGGAGGGTTGGGGTGGGAGGGAGGCTTGCAGGGGTTTGTTTTGGGTGAGGTGGGGTGAGATTGTTAAGGGCACCTTTGTCCTCAGCAACAACGATGACTCGGGTTCCTCTGTTGCTGGAAATCTGTGGTGAATAGGCTCATTCATGATGCAGTGCCTGCGCAAGGACTCAAGGATTCTGTCTATAAAGGAGATGGGCCATTACTGTCTGGCCACCCTTTTGGATCCCTATTGCAACAGAAAAATGCCAGATCCCATCTTACCATCACAGAGGGAACAAAAAATGTTCCACTTGGAAGAGATGCTGCAGGGGTACCACAAAGCCTTTCCAGAGAGTTGCAGAATATAGCCAATATATTCATAGCCAATATGCCTTGGATCCTCAGGTCAGTGAAAGGAGGAGCAGTGGAGGTGGCTGCTTCAACAAAGCTGTTCTTTAGAATACATTGGCCAGGCCTGGCTGCTGGTAGAAGCCAACACCATATGAGCTCAAATTATCTTGGTCAACGGGGGATGCAGACACCATTAAGCTGTACACTCCTAGAATTTTGGCCAAATTCACAGGAATCAGCCGAAATTAAAACAGTGGGTGGCCCTGTCAGCTTGACAAAAGTTGATCACTCAATCAGCTTTTGAGGAAGGTGTCTGGCCAAAAATTATCTGCTCAACAGTGATTGCAGCCAATCAGCTGCAGTCACTGTTCGGGTATTCGGACAGCATCACACCCGCTGCTGTCAGAACACAATTGCCTGGCCAGGAGATTCATCCATCCACTCTATTTAGCGTGGATTTGTTAGATTTTTGTTTTGTTCAAAGGCTTAGGTTGAATCAAAGAAATTTAATAGTGTATGGCCAGCTTTCGAAAAAAGGACCCCATTGACATTTGGCAGTGCCAAGCTCTCCATACTCTTTTTATGACAATCCCTTACCTGATTACCTGAACTGATTTTCAAGATTCGTCCCCTCCTAGACTTTAATGGGGTTCTGATTAAAGTTTGCAATTTCCGGTATTTATAATGAATTCAATGACCGACCTGCGAATTGAACTCAAGCATACTTACTCATTGAACATTTTTCTTCTCTTTTTTTGTGTTTAGATGACCTGTATGATGATGCTGAATTGATTGTAGAGAAATTTAAACCACCTGTTCAAAAACCAAGGTATGCAAGAATGTTAAAATATTCATGGAAAAATACTAGATCTCTTTGTATTTTTCTTAAATAAAACCATATAACGGTTGCACGAATACAAACAAAGAATATACACTATATTTTATATTCAGAGAATAAATATTCCTTAGTATACAAAATAAACACTCCTGACAAATAATGTCCCTAATCTAAAACCAGCCACAAGATGCAATGTGATTGTACAATCTCCTTTGCATTTGTAGTCAAATTTCTTTGATTTACATTTTTCAAATATGTTTTTAAATAACAAATATAAGGAAAAAGAATGTGGGGGGGGGGGGGGGG